GGGGAGAGGGAGGGGGCGGAGTGGGTGGTAAGGGAGGGGGTAGGGGCAGGGGGGAGAAATGACCCAAGCCTTGTATGCACATATGAATAATAAAAGGAAAAAAAAATAAATAAAATGATCAAAAAAAAAAAAAAGAAATGCATATACTTCTGGTAGTGCTAAAGACAGAGTCAATACTATGATGAAAAGGGGTCTTGGTTTGGATGGCCTTGGGAGAAACCCCGTGGTTCTATGACCCAACCAAGAAGGATCATCAGGTCAGTAACCCATAAGCTTTTATCTTCGTGATTTGGAGAAGTTCCAGCCTTCTAAATGAACATTTCTCCTTTTTCCTTTGGGTCTGCAAGATTACTACACCTGCCTAGAAAGTGTCAAAATGAAGTTACCCTAAGAAAATCTTGAAATAAGTAAAACAAGAGCCTCAGAAGGCACAAAAATATAAGAGCAGATACAATGATAAAATAAAATAAACCTGATATTTAAATATTTTAGAATAGGTTTAAGCCTGAGTGTGTATTACAAATGTTGTCATTATGTAGATTATACAGTATGATTTTTTCTATAGTTTAAGGTGGATGTGTGAAGTGTCAAAAACAATTAGCCATATTAAATTTGCATTGCAATTAAATAGTTTAAAGGAAGTTAATCAATCTACTTTATAATCAGTGTTTAAATACTCAAAGAAAGCTGGACATCATGGCCTTGCTTGTTAGGTATGTGTAGCCAACACTGCTGGTCCTGCCGTATCCTCTGGACACTCACTATTTCACGTGATCTTTATCTAGGGAGTTCTCTGACCACCAGGGTCCAATTGGCTCTGTCCAAGGCAGCCTGACTTTTCAGAACCCCCAGGAGCAGGCTTCACCCACTGACTGGTGGGGTTAAAGGGTAAATTCCCAGATTTCTGGACTTTTGGAGATGATAATTCAGGGGCCAGATCCATACCATGTCAGAGATGCCTCCTGTGGTGAACCTCTGCTGCCACCAGTGGTCACCTATTAGAGAAGGGACCCCTTACCACCTAGCTTCCCCTTCCTGTCTCATTTCCCCATGCCCCCAACTGGGGCTTCCTGGGATCACCCCAGATAAATTATCTGGACTCATACTCACATCTCAGGGATTGGCTCTAAGAGCCCATCTAAGAGCTGCGTTTAATAAACTAAGCATTAGATAATCATACATACCTGCAAGGCTCTTCCCCATGCACAGTCTCCCTGATCATCTACCAGGAGGACAGCTTACAGAGCTCAGCCACAGGTATGGGGGGCACTATTTGGGATGACTTCTGCCTTTCCTGTCAGCATCTCTTTCTCTTTCCTCTCTCCTGGAAATGGTTCCCTCTGGACACAGGGACCTCCACTATGATGTTTGCTTTCTGGCTATCACTAGGAAAAGTGGGAATCTCCCCACTCTTATAGGAGCTATAGTTTCAGAAGGAAATCTCAGAAACAGAAATGTTCATTCAGAAGGCTGGGGCTGGGCCTAGTACCTATGCAAGGGAAGGGAGGACAGAAATGGGGAGAGGAAACACACCCATCTACTCAGCCTCAAGAGACTGAGACTCTTGGGTGCTATATATGATACCAGGCCCCTAGGAGCCATGAGGAACTCTGGTTATGGTTGTCATAGGCAGCCCCTCAATATCATAGTACATTGTGACCCACCTTACCACCCCTGCAAACATGGAGGTGAAGAGCTAGGATTCAGGCTCATCATCTCCACTGTAACCTTGGGTGGGTTCCCCAATGTCCCTGGACCTCGATTAGGGGAAATCTGATCTAATTTAGAGGGCATCCTTTTAATAGAGAAAGAACAGCAATAAGAAGTTAAACTGGAGGGCTGTGTGTGTGCCAGGCACTTTCTGTGCATTCTCACTCATTGTTGCACATATGCAGGTGGATGCAGTTTGGTCCTGATTATATAATCATAAGGAACTTGCCCCAGATTTCTCAGCTAAGATAAAGCAGATTCGGTGTCCACACTTGGGTAAGTCTGATTCCACTCTCCACTTCAGCAGCATTGTACAGAGCATATGGAAAATAACTAGAAGTGTCCAGCATACATTATGCACTTAATAAATGTCATTTCTTCCCTTTCTCCTCGCTTCATCATTGTTTCTGGACTGTCTCACTGGAGAGGGACCATAATGAGGAACACTGACAAGGACAGGTGCTTGGCAAACCAGCTTTTAATGGAGTCTCAAAAAGAAAAGACTCAATGCCAAGTTTTTAATAAAAAGTCTTAGAGCCAATAGATCTTGGCTTCTCCTTCTAATAATACCTAACCTCCTAAGATTCTTCCAACCCTATAATTTTCTTCTCTGGAACCTACACAAAATCCTCCAAGTGACTTTCAAAATGCCAGAGTCAAGAATACTAAGCAACTTAATGTTTCAGTTGACATTAAGTCACCTCTAAAACAGATTCACTCAATGTGACAGAAGAAGAGCATGGGATTAGGAGTCTATTTTTCAGTCTGGCCTTGGCATTTCCTAAGTTGGGTGATTCTGGGCAAAAATACCTGCTTTCACTGTGACTCCATTTTTTGTTTGTTCTTACAGATGAAAATCCTTGTCTCATCTTTCGTAAACTCGCTGAGAAAGTCATGTGAGGAGTGTATGTGAGAATGCTTCACAAATTATAAAGCCCTACACAAATGTGGGAAATTGTCAGAATTAATCAGCAGCTTGTCAGACTTGCCAAGAGAATTCTTGACCAAGACAAACTAGAGCCAAAAAGCAGAGGCAGGAGCAAGCTGCAGTGAGAATGGGGAAAGAAAGGGAGTGGTCAGAACCTCACTGGCAAACAGAGCTGGCAGTTAACCTTCCATCAATTTTATAAGGCCAGGAAATAGCCATACTTTTAATTAAGTGTCAGCAGCAGGATCAGCAACATAAAATTTAATGGTAGGGAAGACACCAACTTCAGGAACCATGGCTTCTTACCTCTCCTTCTAAGAAAGATATCTTTTCTAAAAGCTGCAGTATTAACAGCTGCTTCTGCTGCACCTTCTTCTTTAATGATTCAATCTAGAAAGAAACAATGGACAATAGTTAACCAAACATGTAAAATTATGTGAGTTCAAGTTAATTGACTGAAAGAGATGCCTTTGGATGTTGGTGAAACAGAATTTGCACTTGGATTCTCTGTGTTTCCTGGAACAATGTCTAGTACAGAGGCGAGACTTTGTGACCAGGGAGCCTCGGGCTCTCAGACGGTGGGACTCATGTCACGTTAGATCAGCATCTCCCCATTGATTATGCTAGGTGACCCTTAATAATGCAGGGAACATGACTTGGGAAATGTAAATACAGTGTAACAAAAAATAATGACTCAGCTTGAATTTGTGAGCCAGCCCATGTTTCAAATGTTCAGTTCTGTTATTCCTGTTAGTACATTTTCATATTTATCCAACCATCAAAAGTGTGGTTTGGGGTTTGGCCTGGTAGCTCATACCTGCAATACTAGCTATTCAAGAGGCAGAGATGGGGAGTAAGGCCAGCCTAGGGAAAAAGTTTGTGAGACTCATCTCAACTGGGGTCTCAACTAGTGGCTGGTCTAGGTAGGTCCAGGCATAAGCAAGGACCTAGCTCAAAAAATAACCAACACAAAAAGAGCTGGTGAAGTGGTTCAAGTGGTAGAGTGCATGCTTAGCATGTATAAGGCCCTGAGTTCAAATCCCAGTATTGGAAAAAACGAAACAGTGTGGCGTGGGGAAGGATTACTAAAAGTGTTCATGGAATCCAGAGGGCTGAGGACTCACAAGGCCTACAGCAGGAAGCACAGGCTTCTTAAGCAGAATTTCACTGGGCCATCACCTTCCTTTCTAGAATACAATGCATCTTGGATACCTCTCTTTTTTCCATTCATACGCCATGTTTCCCCACAGAAACTAGAGGTCCTCCAAAAGTAAGGACCATGGTACTTTGTACTAGGCCATGTCTTGAACAATAGTGAGAACAGTACACAATTCAGTAGGTAACACACTAACATTCCAACAATCTTGTATATTAAAGTTGAACATCACAAAGCCATGTTTAAAAATCCTTCGCAGTGTAAAATGGCACAATTCCCATAGAAGAGAACCTAGCGGATCTAGAAAAAGTACATCTGCATTTCCCCTTAACCCAGCAATCCCATTTGTTGGACTAGATCTCAAAGGTGTACTGGCCAAAATATGAAATTCCTTGGACATTGAGTTTTTTATGTTTTAGAAAACACGAAACAAAATCCCATCAATAAGTGACTGGTTCAATACATCCTAACAGTGGAGGTATATGTAACCTTCCAGGGTATGAGGAAGATCTTTAAACCGCTGATGTGACATACATACTGGAAAAGTGTCTATGACATGCTATCTTTGATGCAAAACAGGTGAGGTCAGATAAATGCATATATATTTGTATAAAAAATGCTACATAGATAAAAACCTTAATTATTAAGAAATAGTTGCCCAAACAGAAAGGGAGGAACTTGGGTAGTGGCGTCAGAATGGATGAAAGACTTTTCTGATAATCACTTATTACATAGGTTTAATTGTGAAAGCACATTTTATAGATTCCAAAGATATTACACCAAAAAGAAAAAAATGAACCCTAAAACTTGTCAACAAACTGAAATGAGGCAACTTGACTTCAATATTAAATTGGTGAAAAGTATCCAAGTGCTGTTGGCATGAGGTCATGTGACATTTTCAGCAGACAGAGCTGCAGAGAAATCTTTCCACTAGGAAAACCGTGAGCAGTGGCATTGGTATCGTTATTTGGAAACTATTTGATATACAGTATGATGTAATCGTGTTTGGAATTAAGATTTTTAGTGTAAGAGAAAGGAATACAAGTATGAAATCAAAGAAGTAAAAAAAGCTTTGTTGAATTTGAAATGACAATATCAATATGAACTTATTTTTTGGTAAATTTTGCATTACTACTCTAGTGAAAAAACTTAAAAATAATAGCAACATAATATGTACAGATTGTGGTCTTTATTTACCATTTCTCACTGGGGAAAACCCATAAGATATCTTGGAGTAATGGTCCATTCCAGGGGCAAAAATAAACTAAAAGAATCTGAGATACCTTGTTATGAAGCATGGATATGAAAGGTCTCCCCTTGGGCCAAGGTAGAGACAATTTGAGCACCAAAAAATAATAATGAATATAACTGAGTAAAACACGAGGAATATATAAATATTGAATAACATGAATAGCTCATTATTCTTAAAGAAGAAAAAACAACTCATTGGATCCTACAAAGATGTCAACTCCTTGCTTGGAAACATGGTAACTTGAAGGACAACATTAAACATTTATGTTTCTTTTCATTTTTTAAACGTTTTTAAATTTTAGGATTCATTAATCATACAAGAGGATTTCATGTGAAAATTCCATATGCTCACAGCATATTTTGAGCAAGTTTACCCCTTTATTACAATCTCTTAACCCACCTTCCTTCCTTTTAAAAACAGTATTTGTGGGTTTCTTTATGCTATCTACAGATGATTGATTGATAGGTAGGTAGGTAGGTAGGTAAATAGATGGATAGATGGATAGATGATAGAAAGATAATATAGATATGCAACATGTTTTTCTTGTACAAACTGCACTTTAGACTGTGACAAGCTGTATTTTATGAGGAGAAAGTTTACTTTACAGAAAAATCCAATTGAATGGGGAAGGAATGACAGAATAAGAAAACCCACAATTTTGCAATCTCCGTGAAATCAGGAATTCAATAGCCATCGTCCATACATGAGACAGTTCCGTTTGGGACTGTCACCATGTGAATCTCTTGTCAGCCTCAACATCACCAGAAATGGGTAAGTGACCACCCACTCTATGCCCTGACAGTGACACAAAATGGAGCACAAACCACCACCACGAAGTACTCTTACCCTTCAAGGTGAAACTTGATCTAAGCAAACTTCTTGAGCTAAGAAGGAAATAATGTAGGAACTTTTATAGGACAATTGATTTGGTCCTACAATAAGCCACCAGGGAAAGGAAGTAGGAGAGGGGAAGCAGGCAGGGCAGTATGCTCAGGTCGAAAGGCTTTAGGAAGATAACAATCAAATACAAACATATGTGTGCTAACTGGAACAAAGAATGAGCAAAAAGACACTTTGGAAAATTACAGACTAGTAGTAAATGATAACAAGGAACTGTCACTAAGTTTATTAGGCGTGATAATACCATTATGATTATATAAGAAAAAGTACAGAGGCTGTGTGTAGAGGTGCGTGCTTGTAATACCAGCTATTTGGGAGGCAGGGATCAGGGGAATCATGATTTGAAGGCAGCTCAGGCAAAAAGTTAGAAAGACCCCCATTCTCAATCAACAAGCCAGTCATGGTGCTATATGCCTGTACTCCCAACTACACGGAAGGCACAGGTAGGAGACTGAAGTCTGATGCCAGTTCAGAAAAAAGCACGAGACCCTGTCTGAAAAAGAATCTGAGGTATGGCTCAAGTGGTAGAGCACTTGCCTAGCAAGTAAGTACAAGGGCCTGAGTTCAAACTTCTGTGCTATAACAGAAAGAGAGAAAAAAAAGAAAAACTTCATGTTTTAGAGATACACAGTGAAGTACACAGGAAATGTGCAGGATGTCTGGGGTTTGCTTTAAAATGCTACACAAAGGAAAGAAAAGAGAAGGTGTAAATAAAGCAACATGACGAATCTTGCTCTCTGTTGAACCTGGGTAATGAGTCTGGTGGGCTTCGTCAATTCTCTCTATTCTGAGTGCATTTTGCATTTTCATTGTAAAGTATTTTAAGTTCCATGTAATACCAAAATAACCTTCTGACAAGAAAATTGCACAAAACAGAATATAAGAAACACATTCAAGATAAAATGCCTAGTGCCAATAAGAACTAAAGAAATTACCAATTATAGGAACAGTATGGGGTTACCATTTAATACCTTTTAAATTTGCCCCAAACTAGTGACTGCAGAGGCCAGTGTTGGTAGGGCTGGGAGGGACAGCCACTCTCTGTGTTGCAGGTGGCACTGTAAATTAGAATGACCCTTTTGGCAATTTAGCAATAAATATTCAGAGCCAGGAAGCTGTTCAGCCCCTCTGACCCACTAATCCCACTCCTGGGAATTTATCCTGAGGCTATAATTCAGATATGGGAAAAAGGCTGTATAGAGAGAGATGCTCTTGCTCTCATTATTTATAATAGAGAGAAAATGGAAATAACCTTAATGTCTAGGACTGAAGGAACAGGCAATAAATTATGGAATATCGGTTTGATGGAGTATATTACACAAATGCTAAAAGCAAATACATTACAATGTAGAAAAGTATTTACAAAAAGTCTCAAGGGACAGGAAAACAAAAGTTTACAGTGAAAGTGAAAACTGGAAGACAAGTTAGGTAAATGAAATCATTCTTCAATTATGAACAAACAAATTTGTGTAAATTTCCATTGGTTTTTATAGAAATAGTCTTCAAAAACTCATCATTGTGCTCCATTTTCATTTCTTCCTCCAGTATTAAGATTGTTTTAAAAGTCGACTTTTAAAGTCTGTAAGTGAAAGCCAAAATGGGCACTGATATTCACTAAAAAGTTAGTGAATACCCAAGACAGTGAGGGGTAATATAGAACAAATGACATAGAAAGTGATTTCAAATACACTAGTTTCAGGACATCTGAAGGACTGAGAATGCTCTGAGTCAAGGAGAGCAAGAGATGGGGTTTAAGAACATGGGAGTGAAGAGTTCACAGGAAGATGCCCAACGGATACTGCTCATCACTGTCCCTTGGATTTGCGTTTAAGGCCTCCATATCTGTGCGTCCCACATCCTCAGAATTAAATCAACAGCTGATCAAAATAATTTGAAAAAACATATGACTGTACTGAACATAGACAGAGCTTTCTCTCATCATTATTTCCTAAACAATATAGTATAACAACTATTCATATAGCATTATTTTATCAGGTATTATGAGGGATCTAGAGATGATTTAAAATACATGTGTGTAGGTTAGATGCCAACCCTGAACCATTTTCTATAAGAAACTTGATC